TTTTTGCACACGAAAAAAAAATCCTTCGAAACTTTTGGCACACACATAGAATGTGAAGCTGTACATGTGCAACAATTTTCAGTTTTTTTTAAACTTGAAAAAGTGTCTTTCGAAGTGGGTGCAGATGTACTTGGGTTCATCCATGTATTTTCCCGTCCAGAGCTAGCAGCATACAACTCATTTTGACCGTCCCATGAAAAAATAGACAAGCTACCAGCCACACAGAAAATCAGGCCACCAACGAGGCTGTAAGGACCAGGCCACCTGAAGTCTCCCACAAACTACAGTTCTTTCGCCAGGCGCAGCGGAGCTCGCCACAATGTCTAGTTATAATTAAACGTCTACAATTGCATCTAATCAAGCTATAAAAAGGAAGACACCATCTAGCATATATCGTGAGCGCATCCATATAACACAAGTATGCATACAGTCAAGGCATCCAAGAAATGTGTTGCATTTTGAGACCAACATAATTCATCTGTGTGTACTAATCAATAGTTAAAAAATAGCTAGAAACTATTTAGTCTAGCAGATAACTGGAAGTCTAGTCTACCAGGAAGCTAATCACAAAAACATGATAAAAATCAAAACCATAGTCTTTCTATTCCTGGCAATTGATCATCCTATACAGGAAGATATAGTTCATATACCATTAGCAAATAATCTAGGCATATAGGTACAGAAGAGCCACAAGACTGATCCGAGTTTCAGCTTAACATCAACCAATTGCTTAACAGTCCAGAATAAAGTCACAAAATTGCATCAAGAACAGGATCTGACACTTGCATTGTGGTGTTTTCCCACTGTATATCTGACACACACACTACATGCACTCTGCAGATATGTATCCAACCGGCTATACTCTACGCTCTATGGAATTTGCGGACTTCTTGGCCATGTTACGTAAAGAAGCTCCGTAAGTGTCATTTCGTAGCAAGATTGCAGCCACTCGTGCCTCGTCCTATATGTAGTACTTGAAACCTTCACATGAAGACTGTCATTAAGAAAATGGCTGTATCAAGGTGAATCTTGTGAAGAGAGTCAATTCAGCTCTACAAATAATGTATACTCTCTACACATGCAAAAAATGTATATCTAAACGGTGAACAAAAAAAGAAATATACTCTCTACAAATAAATGATCAAAGTTTACAAATGCTTGGCTTGTGAACTACTTAGTTACTCCCTGCTACTAAAAAAAGTCAAGCATACAACTAATATGCCCAAGTTTGAGAGAGACACAATCCAAATGAATTGCCAAAGAGAAGAAAGAACTGCAGAAAAACATGAAAGATCCCCCTATACAATAGATTGCAGAAAAGACCAATGCATTCTCAAATTATTTGCTCCTTCTGAGCTAAAAAACTCCCTGCGGAGCAAATGGTTGAGCTGGCCGTAGGAAGGAACACACTAAAACATGCCAAGAAAAGTGCATTGGTAAAAACAAAACAAAAAGAAAATATAGGAACAACCAGGACGGGGTTAATGGTTTGGGAACTGAGAGAGTTGATGGGAGGGACAACCGGAGAAGCAAACCTAGCAGAAATTCGCATCTGCTTTTCCAAGATGATGTGCTGCTCGGTGGATGATCATCATCATGCATCCACTGTAAAGGTCCTCGATTCTTATATGCATTCAGTTTCTGCAAGTTCAAAAGGTAGTTCTACATAATCACTAAACAGAGGCACTAACCTGGTACTGAATTTATAGAATAAGTGCAGATCCTTTGTTGAGTCCTCTGCAATCTCAATACTCTGGATCCAACTAATGTTCTTGTCTTGCCCTGCAAATATATACATGATTCAGTCTATTTTCAGAAATTAGGATTTCTGTTTTCTATGCGATCCACATAGAACATGGGGAATCACCTAAGCTTAGCTGCTGTATCAGACCCAGAACATTCACTAATGCAGTTAAATAGCTGTACAAATATAAAGAACATGAACTTACAACTTCATGGTTCAGTATATGGACAAAAAGACCCACGTCTAGAGATCTAGAGAGAGAGGAACTAAAGGCAAACCATGAACCACGTCCAGCTCCTTGCTCTTGCTACGATTCGTGTTCGCCCCACTCCTTGCATGCACCAGCGACCTCATCCATGAGACAAGGGGGGAAAGAGAGGGGGAGGAAGATAGAGACAAACCTGAACTGCCTCAACCTTCTTGCTCCTGCTGCTCCGACCAGCAAGTCTCCCTCCACGGTCGACCCCGCCCACATTCGCCACTGCACCAACTCCGCTGTTTTCCCCATCAAGGCAGAGCTCCCGTGCGCGTCTTGTTCGGAGGGGCTCTCCGAGGCCTCGAGGTCCTCATCAAGATCTCATCCTCCGAGTACTTCACCCCATACTTTTCGCCTAATGTTCTGTACACCTGAATTAGCATTAAGAACACAAGCCATATTAATCAAACCACCGTATGCATACCCAATTAACAGAGGAAAGGGAGATTTTTATCAGTAATTCGTTATGCATGGAGAAACAAATCCAGACAACCCAGAAATGAACAGCAGAAACAAATCTGCCCAGGTTCTCACAACCCGAATCTACGAACATACACGAACGGAACGGGCTACGGGAGCACGGATCAGGTCGATCCAAACGCCACGCATTGTCTCAGCATGTGCACCGCATAGAAAACATGCAGGCCTCCGTCAACCATGGGAACGGCCAGCAGAATCGAGCGGAACAAACAGAGGAACATGAATTGGAGCTGCGGTATATGGGGGAAGTGCGTAGGCCGACCTGGGCCATGGGCTCGGTGGGGCAAGGAGGGTGCCGGCGGCGTCGACATTAGAATGAGGACCTATTTTTTTTTAAACTGAGTTTTTTAAAAGACCATGTTTCCGTAACTCACAACCAACCTTGCAGCCTCGCGTGGATGTTCATCGACAGAATAGATCGAACTACTATGGTGAGAATGCAGTCAAAAGATATGTGTACCGGTAGAGAGTATGGACCTGGGACTGCCGATCGATGGCTTGACACGCCGGAAGACAACGGGCTGACACAAAAGTCATGGATGAGCTTCTCAACCAGGCGGCTCCTCCCCTCGCCGGTGCTGCAGACCCGTCTCGAACCACAATCACAGATCAGTGGTGATGGCACGCGTCGCACCTTAGATCGATGTAGCGGTGCCGACGCTTGGTACGTGCGGCGTCGGGGCCGGGGCAGGTAGGGTGGAGTGGGTCGTCGATGGCTGTCAATGCACGGCGAAATCTGGCGGGCGGCGTGAGGTGGAGTGAGGGGAAGGAGGTGTCGTCCTGGTGATCCGCGACGACCGCGTTCTGGTATTCCGTGATGTATCCGAGGCGCCGGCGGCGGTGGCGTCCTGGTGATCCGCGATGGCGGCGGCGGTCGCCGGCGTCGCGGCGTTGACTCCCTGGATCAGCGTCGGCGTCTGCGGCTGCGTCTCGTCCGGAGACGTGGAGTAGCGGCTTGGGATGAGATCTACGGCAAATTGTGTTTTTTTTCAAACATTAGGTGTAGAGATAAATGCTGGCACGGATGTCCCAAATATAGAAATAAACACCGCATATTTTTCTTCTTTTCCTTCTCACCGTTCCTTTGGCTGATGCATATGGCAATGCTTGATTTCATGGACAAAGGTCAATTATCTCTTTCTTAGAAAAATTATAACTCCTGATTGCATGCGAAAATCATACCCCAAATTTTAGAAGAAACTTTCCATCCTTTTTCTCTCTGTCTGATGCATATGGAAATGATTGATTGATTTCATGTACAAAAGTCAATTATCTCTTTCTTAGGAAAATCATAACTCCTGATTGCATGCGAAAATCATACCCCAAATTTTAAAAGAAACTTTCCATCCTTTTTATCTCTGTCTGATGCATATGGAAATGATTGATTGATTTCATGGACAAAAGTCAATTATCTCTTTCTTAGGAAAATCATAACTCCTGATTGCATGCCAAAATCATACCCCAAATTTTAAAAGAAACTTTCCATCCTTTTTCTCTCTGTCTGATGCATATGGAAATGATTGATTGATTTCATGGACAAAAGTCAATTATCTCTTTCTTAGGAAAATCATAACTCCTGATTGCATGCGAAAATCACACCCCAAAATTTAAAAGAAATTTTCCATCCTTTTTCTCTCTGTCTGATGCATATGGAAATGATTGATTGATTTCCCGTATGTACGAGGGAGATAGGGCGGCCGCATCGGGTGGATCGAGAGACGTTTTTTTTTTGGTTTTGCACGGTTTATTTGTTTCCTTAAAATCTATTATTTGTTTCCTAAAGAAATTTGCAATAATGAAAGGTATCGGTTGATTTGGATAAGTTAGTAAATTTAGATCCGTGATTGCGTGCACGTTTGGAAAGTGCTGATTTGCAAGGAAAGAACTGAGGGGTAAATAAACCGGTGAATAAGAAACCAGTATCGAAAAAAATCTACGACGGTTAACCTACGAAAAAAAACCGGACGAAAGTGGTGGGACGAAAAAAAACCTGGAAGCGAGACTACCAACTGCTCCATTAGGAGTAGAGATAGACTAGGTCTAGTCACGTGTTCTCTTTTTTTTATCTTCTTTTTACAACCTTTATCTACTCAAAGTCAACTCCTCAGCCGAACCAAAAGAATAGCACTTTATTTCTTTCCAAACATTTCTTCTTCTTTTTCTCTCACTCCAAAATTCCGACGTGGCAAAATAGGAAAGAATCAGAAACAAGATCTCAACTCCCCCAAAAAATAAGTGCCACGTGATTCTCTCCTTTTTACTAATCCATACCTGCCTTTCCAATGCTATTTGGATCCACACTTCCCTTTTTAATCCTGCTTTTATGGCAACGTCCCAAAGAGTTCTTTCTGGGCCAAAACGGATGTGCTCTCTTTCCCTTGTTTTCTCTTCCAAGGTGGCGCAACCCTCGTTTCTCTTGTTTTTCAGAATTATAGTCTATCATGGCTTCTGATTGGAGATCTCAACGGAATCCAATTGCTAAGTGAGAAGGATGGAGGAAATCCAAGACCATAATAGTACATGATGGCGTTCCAGTCAGCCATTGATGATTGTGAGTTAAGAGATATGGGGTTCTTGGGTGACCAATTCACGTGGTATCGTGGACGCACCAGGGAAAGGTTAGACAGGGGTCTAATTAATAATACATGGAGCATTATGTATCCACATGCGGCGCTACAGAATCTGGGTTATAATCATTCTGATCACAGACCGTTGCTAGTGGATACAAAATACTATTCCCTGGTGGGTGGATCCGACAATCAGGTCAATCACCTTGAAGCAAGATGGATTAAAGAAAGTGTTTTTAGTGATCTGGTTGAGGAAACGTGGCCGCAGGTTGGATCCAACCCGAACCTTGTATCTGTTCATGCTAAACTTAATCGCATGCACGATATGTTTCACGATTGGGATCCAAGGGTTCCCAAGAAGTCTAAGAAAAGATTGAGAAAGGCACAAAGAGATTTGGAGAAGATAATGACTGGCCCTATGAATGATGAGAAAGAGGAGAAGAGAAAGGAGCTATCCGAACAGATAGAGTTTTTGTTAGAACTTGAGGAAATTCACTATATGTAGCAGTCGAGATCTAACTGGCTCCAGTTTGGTGATCGAAATACTGTTTTTTAGGCATATGCATCAGCGCGGTGAACGAAAAATTATATCAAGAAACTGAATGATGGAGATGGTAATTTTGTGAAAGGTACGGCACCTCTCAACCAACATATTCATAATTACTCTAGTAATTTATTTAGTTTGGAAGTTCAACAGGTAGACCATGAGATTATGCAGAAAGTTCTGACTAAAGTGACAGATGAATGATTTCCTGATTTCACCATATACTCATGATGATGTTCGTAAGGCCGTGTTTAGTATTGGTGATTTAAAAGCACCAGGGCCAGATGGACTACATGCACTTTTCTTTAAAAAATATTGGCATGTACTTGGTGATGCTATTTCACAGGAGGTATTGTTTGCTTTAAACAACCGCCAGATCCCCGCTAATTGGAACAATACTTCCATTGTTCTTATTCCAAAAGTAGACACACCTGAATTGATTACTCAATACAGACCTATCAGTCTATGCAATGTCCTGTACAAAATTATTTCAAAGATGTTAGCTATGAGATTGAAAAGCATTTTTCTAGAGATTATTTCTCCCACTCACAGTGCGTTTGTCCCGGGCAAAATGATAATAGATAATGTACTGGTTGCCTATGAATGTATTCATAAGATCAAAAATAAAAGAGTGGGGCAAACATGCATGTGTGTAGTAAAGCTGGATATGCACAAGGAATATGATCGAGTGGAGTGGATATGTTTGAGGAGCATGATGCAGAAACTTGGTTTTCATGAACAACGGATTAAAATGATTATGGCATGTGTCAGTTATATAAAATATAAGGTGTGATTTAATTTCCAAGAAACAGAGCTATTTACTCCAACAAGGGGTATTCGTCAAGGGGACCCTCTCTCCCCTTTTCTGTTCCTTATTTGTGCAGAAGGACTTTCTAGTATGTTGTAGTACGAAGAAGAAGTTGGTGGCATGGATGGGATTAGAGTGTGCAGGAATGCACCATCGATTTCACAACTTTTATTTGTTGATGATTCTGTAATACTCATTAAAGTAGATGTGTTAAATGCAACTTACTTACAACAAACACTAGATACCTACTGTCAGAGTTCAGGACAGATGGTGAGTTTGGCTAAGTCAAGCATATTCTTTAGTCCTAATACTACTGTGGTCTCAAGAGCAGAGATTTGTCAAATTTTGCATATTGACACTGAAGCACTTTCAAACAAGTACCTTGGCCTCCCAGCTATAGTGGGAGCTGACAGAAGTGATTGCTTCACGCATTTGGTAGAGAGAATCAAAATCATGTTAATGAGTTGGATGGAAAAAATCCTTTCTACTGGAGGAAAGGAGATCTTACTGAAAGCGGTGGCCCAAGCCATACCTATTTATGCTATGTCTGTGTTTAGTTTACCTAAAGGTATTTGTAAAGATATCACATATATTATTGCACAATTTTGGTGGGGTGATGATGCAGATAACAAAAGAATGCATTGGATGGCTTGGTGGAAGCTTTGTGTTCCTAAAAGTGAAGGAGGTATGGGGTTTCGGGACCTATACTCTTTTAATCTAGCAATGCTTGCGAAACAATGCTGGAGGCTGATAACTAAACCAAAATCTTTGGTGGCGAGAGTGCTTAAAGAAAAGTATTACCCAAATGGGTCTCTACTAGAGGCAACACCAAAGAATGGCTCCTCGTTTACTTGGCAAAGTATTCTGAAAGGGCTTGACACCTTCAAAAAAGGTCATATATGGAGAACTAGAATTGGAGAGAAGGTAAACATTTGGAGAGACCCATGGATTCCATCTAGTGTAGACAGAATGATAATCACTCCAAGAGGTCAAACAATCATTACGAGAGTATGTGAATTAATTGATCCAGTTAATGGGCCATGGGACGAAGCCTTGATTACAGAGTTGTTTAATCCGGTGGATGTTCATAGAATACTCCAGATTCCATTACATTTGCAAGGTTTTGGTGACTTTATTGCTTGGCACCCGAATAGAACAGGAATGATTTCCGTCAGAAGTGCTTATCATATGCAATGGATGCATAGGTTTCGGGCGCATGCAACGATGGAGGGACACCCTGGTGGGTCTACACCATTGGCAGTCTGAAAACGCTATGGAAGCTTCAAGTCCCACTTAATGTTTAGATTTTTTTGATGGAGCATATTGCGAGGAATAATCCCGCTTCGAGCTATACTTGCTAATAGACATATAGGCTCAAATGGGGCTTGTCCAATTTGGAACCAGGGAGCGGAGGACATCAAGCACCTACTTTTCTAGTGCACTAATGCAAAGGAATTGTGGAGGAGACTGAGTGTGACACATATTATTGACCAAGCAATTCATGTGGATAGATCTGGTTCAGCAATATTTGAATTTATATTGTCTTTACCAGACCAGCAGCTCGCGGTTCATCAAGAGTTGAATTTTAAACAAGTTATAATTGTTGGAGGGTGGTATCTTTGGTGGATACGGAGACGTGTGACACATAATGAAGCAATTCCGTCAGCATGGAAGTGGCCGCTCTCGGTACTATCTATTTCAAGTAACCATCAGAGAGCTTCGGCTATAACAAGGAACATAAATGAAGCAAAATGGTCTAAGCCCGATCCTCGATTTATTAAACTCAATGTGGATGCAACGTTCTATCCTGATGAAGGTGCAGGGGCTACAACAGCTATTATACGTGATGATAGAGGTAATTTTGTTGGATATCAATGCAAATTCATTCCTTTTGCAGCGGATATAATCACTACTGAAGCTTTGGCCATGCGAGATATCGTTGTGTTTGCGAACGTCCTCAGATGTAATCGAGTGGAAGCGGAATTAGATTCTCTGCAGGTCATCAATTTGTGCAATGGTCAAACAACTTGGTGGGACGCTGCAACGGCCATTTTCGTAGAATGTCTAGACACTAGTAATTCAATTAGGAAGGTCATTTTTAAGCACTGTTATCGATCTTGTAATCAAGCGGCTCATGTGCTAGCTCATTTTTGTTATTGTAATAAGACTTCTTTTAGCTGGTTGGACGAGCCTCCTGACATTGTTGTCAGCAAGCTTGTAGACGATGTAAGCCTATTTCAAGTTTCAATAAAATTAGCCATGATGGCATTCCCTCAAAAAATCATCCACAACCGATCAGATTTAGTATCTCAAAACTTCCAATAAGGGCGCTGATCTGCGCCGATCGACTGGCCGAGTCGCTCTGCTGGTCCCACTATGTTCGTCGGATTCATCCATTTGTGAATGTTGGATCTGGCTACTTCGATTCGTTGGGTCATGCAAAACTGAACTTGTTGAACGCCCGTCGTCCACCCGCACGAAACAAGTTGTCTTTGCCATGCATTGCAACTTTCCTCATTGACTCACCACGTCGAGCTTCCATGAATGCAACTTGCCATGGCCGCACTACATCGCTGTTGCAAGTCACTGTCATCGCCTCTCGAGCACTCGATCGTCCGGCAATGCGTGCATGAAAAGCGCTTGCCGGTGTCATGCACCGCTTGCTTTTCTCGTCAGAGTCGTGACGCCCCAACTCCTGTGAATGCCCCGTCCACCATCGCAACTCGTCATCGCCACCATGCATCACCATCGCAACTCGCCGTTGTTTCTCATGCAAAAAGCTCGTCATAGCATGGTCTATCGCTAGTCCCAGCAAATCATCTTGCCGGTCGTAGCTTGCTGTCTCCTCAGTCACAACAAACCATCTTCTCGATAGCAGCTTATCGTCTCGCGGTCCGAGCAAAACATCACAAGAAACAACTGCAGCTTCTGCAGTGGCCGGTCGTAGCTTCCGCGGTCGCCGGTCGCATCTAGTGAGAGCGGTTGCAACATCTGGTGGCGCGTGGTCACCGCCCTTAGTAGCAATTTTTTTGCCGGTTCCAGCTTCTAGTGAGAGTGGTTGCAGCATCTGGTGGGCATGGTCACCGCGTTCATAGCCCGTTGTAGCAAAAAGTTCTGCAGCTTCCAACATCGAGCGAGAGCGGTTGCACCATCGGGCGGGCATGGTCACCACGGTCACAGCCCGTAGTAGCAATTTTTTTGGCCGGTTGTAGCACTTTCGATCACCGGCCATAGGACATTTGGACGTGGAGCATAGAACTGCCAGTCATTGGGTGGCCAGCACCTTGCCTTGCCCGTTGTAGCACATCGGCATGCCGATGGTAGCATCATGGGTCTCCGCTTGTAGCACGTAGCTGATCAATAGGACCACGCCTTTAGCAAAGAAGTAGCACTTGGTTTACCCGTTTTAGCACAAGCAACTCTAGCGGCCGATTGCAGCAAATATGTTTGTTGGTTGCCGGACCATGCCAGGTCACTTCATGCATCAGCTGGTTATCCCTGCCTGCAGCTGCTTTGGTTCCAGCAACGGCGGCGCTGCACTTCATGGGGGAGTGCGCTTCGTGCAATAGCTCTAGGCTATGGCGGCCAAGAAAAAGCACTACAAAAAAACCACTTCTGTGATCATACGTGTTTGTCATAGTAGGTCACACTTTTTGTCATGCATGTACATCCATGACGATTTTTTGACACAATCAAGATAGTCATACCTATGCTGTCGTAGAAGTGTTCCATGACAATACCAAAATTATCATCACATAACTGTCCACTTCCATGACGATAAATGGCGCGTCATGGAAGTGTTTTCGTCAAGGGTAACCAACTCGTGGCATCCATCGTAATGAGTCACCGTTAAGCTATGGGGTTCCGGTTTGGATCCAATAACCTGTTAACAGCCCCGACCAATGGGGATTTTTCACGTGTAAAATTCTCATTCGTCAGAGGATCCACGTGTCGGCTCAGCGTTGGGACATATGTCATCCACTAATTGTACGGGAGCCGCCTATGATATCTTGGCACATGGAAAGGCCCAACAGTGGCCCATTTAGGTGAAAGAGGCCGGCCCAGTCAAAATTAGCAGGCCAGCCCATATAGGGCCTCCTTGTGTCTAGTCCATTTAAGCCCACAACCCATACAAGATGTGCCAATTCAGCCC